TTGAATGTTTGTCTGTGATTTGTGCATATCGAGATCCTCGTGGGTTCCAACACTACCAACAGCCCATATCAACAAGGAGATTACCTTCTATATCGCCCAAGTGCTAGTAGCCTTCTTGAACTCCCGTGCGCGTGCGGTGCCCTTGTCCGACGCTTACGGCTAATTTCTCGCGTGCGGTGCTTGCGGTAACCTCTCAACTAGTTAAGCTCTCTCTAATCTCACAACTCTCTATACTAACACATATATACTTAAGATGTGAAAGAGGAACAATTCTCCCCAACCTAATATATATATATAATACGGCCGAAAGAAAATTGGGGAGAGGTGGAGACTTTGTGGCTAACTATCATTATGCCACTTGTTTGAAATATGAAGCTTGATGTGCTTAATCGTCCCTTAAGGATATTAATGATCACTTAGGCTCCAATTAGTAGCCACCTCATGCTTAAAATTTAAGACAATTCTTGTACCCAAAAAAAAAAAAAATTAAGACAATTCTCCCCTCAATGCACTAAAATAACTCACGGCTTTATGGGAGAAATTGAATGAAATTTTACATGACTTTAGGTATAAAAATACTCACGGCAATTAACCATCTAAGTATGATTAATTTTTAATTAAGCATAATCTATATGCTTAATTAATTAGCTAACATGATACTTAATTTCTGAAATTATTCCGAACGTAAACGTGACGTCGAAAATAATTTCTGACAATCTCGACTGAAATAATTAATTCGAACTATAATAATTTCGAATTCTTGACTTGGACGACTAATCCGAATATTAATATTTCGAATAATTCGACAACTTAACTTATTAATTCCGAACTCATTAATTAATAAACGAATCGGAATTTAATCTGGAAACCTATTCGGTTACTGAAATAATTAACCGAATAATTTATCGATTAATAGTCGGATTGGGAATATAACTAACTGAATAACTTGAACTTGAACATGAACATGAGTATTTATTAACAAAGGCTAGCTTAAAATTAAAAGCTAGTATTTCCCTTTATTAATAAAACTCGGGGTGTTACAAAACGAGCAGGGCCGAGCTCGAGCATCTTGAGTCCTTAACGAGTCGAGCCAAACTCAGCTCGTTTATCACTAATAATGAGCCGAATTCGAGCCTCAACGATCTGATATCGAGCTTTAACGAGCCGAACTATAAAAAATTGTATAAAAATTATCTTTTTTTAGCCTTATTGAGCCAAATCGAGCTTGGCTAGTAAACGAAACGAGCTGTAAATAAGCTCAAACTCAGCTCATTTATTAAACGAGTCAAGCCAAACTCGAACCTTAACAAGCCGATCGAGCTAAGTCAAACTCGTTTAATTTAATTAGCAACACTGATTATTACAGTGTATAGTTAAGCATACAATTGGAACTTGTTCGCCTCAATTATAACACACCCTACACCATTATTTTTTTTTTTTTTCGGTACAAAAAAAGTTGCCAAAAGGCCTAAACTAGTACGCGTCGAGGGTATGATACCCCGACAATATCATGATTAAGCCACGCGCCGATCCTCAGGCGGGGATTCCAAAAGGTGAAGGCCCAAAGGGTGAAATTCCGCCATAGCTCGCCAAGTGGTCCGCCGCACAATTGGCTTCTCTGCACCATTAATTTATCCACCAAGCCCCCACCTTTACAAAACAATTTACATAAATTAATTAAAACACGAGATAATTAAATTAAATACTGCCCTAAATTAATAAAAAAAAAACCACGTGGGCCATATATTAATTACTACAGCTACACAATAATTAATGACTTTTCAAAGGACCCAAATGTCAAGCACCGTGTACCTCAAGACCCATGTTAGGTAAGAACTCAGACAAAATCTCTTCGTCTATCTTTTCTTTTTCCTTCCTCAATCAACACTAATATTATTACACACAAAAATCAAATCCTAGTGAATCTTATAATTACCTAAAATTATCGCATATATATAACTGCATACATAGGATTATTCAAGTAAGAAAAGATTAATTGTTTGGTATCCATTTCTTGTGTAACAATTAAAATTAATTTTTTCCTGCCTAATTCTTCTTAGGGTTTTTAATTTGTTGGTCTATTTTCTTTATCCAAGGTGACCTAGTTTGTTGAAGTAGTATACTTACTAGAAAAAAAGAGCAAAGTAATGGAAGGAGGAGGAGAAGTGAAAGTGAAGGAGGAAAAATTACCTGCCGGGTATCGATTCCATCCGACGGACGAGGAGCTCATCACGTGCTACCTCGTCAACAAGATTTCGGATTCGAATTTCACGGGACGAGCAATTGGAGACGTCGATCTCAACAAATGCGAGCCCTGGGATCTTCCAGGTAGTTGTAACCTTAAATTTGATAGATATATATTTATTTGATAGTATATAGTTAATTCCTATAAATGGTTAATTAAGTGGTACAACAAAAATCATGCTACTTTTAGGAACTTAAAGCACATCCATGTGCATATATAGCTAGGGTTTGGGCGTAATATATAGAAGCAATTAAAGCATGTTAAAAAAAAAAAAGAACATATATAGAATGAAACTATTAAACTTGATCTATATACACAATAACATGCACATTCATGCAACAGTAATTTTGTGCAAATAATTATATGTTATATTATAAAAATCCTTTTAGGGAAGGCGAAGTCGGGAGAAAAGGAGTGGTACTTTTTCAGCCTGCGTGACCGGAAATACCCGACGGGCGTGCGGACGAACCGGGCCACCAACAGCGGGTATTGGAAGACGACGGGAAAAGACAAGGAGATATACGACAGCAAAACGTCCGATTTGGTCGGGATGAAGAAGACATTGGTGTTTTACAAAGGACGAGCGCCGAGAGGAGAGAAAAGCAATTGGGTCATGCATGAGTATCGCATTCACTCGAGATCCGCCTTTCGAAACACCAAGGTGTGTGCGTGTAAATTTTATTCTTTTTCCGCTTTGCTTTTGTTTTAATTGCTTTTGCCTTTTCTCTAACTTCACTCCTAAAAGGTTGACATAATAATGGTTTGCAATCCAACATGAAATGATACAGGAAATGCTACAATCCCATTACGGAACCATAAACATCCCTTAGGGATTTTTAATCGTTAAATCATAACGTAACCGTCGTGGATAGTTGATCTAACAGTTACAAATTCCGACTGAATGGTTCCGTAACAGACCGTAGAATCTCCCAATGATATATAGCATTTAGGACTTAGGAGGTGTCTTGTTCTTAGTCTTTATTAATTGTGGTTAAATGTGTAACTTTTATTTTTGTTTGTTATATCACTTCATGTTGTACTTTGCTCGTAGCTAGCTAGGGTCCTAAAGAGAAAAAAAAAAGATGAAAATGGTGTTTGAGTGTGGTTAAAATTGAACTTTTGCCAAACGGGAGAAACGGGTGAAACAAGTGCGGTCACACGCACGTGAAATGCACCATATATAGCAGGGCGAGCCTAGATGCACCTTAGTGATATTTCATCCTAAAACCGATTGGTTGATGGGAGGAGTAGCTCACTAAGCTTATAAGTTAAATCTGTTTTTTTATATAATGTGGGATAACCCGCAAGTGGTATTATATTCTAATAGCCGAGATGATTACGAAATAATGAATTGTTGGAAAAGAAAAAAAGGAAACTAGAAAATATAAGCATGCATATTGACGGACTACACATTTTCTTGGGAATGACTACAACCTCGTTAATGAATCATTCAGTCAGTCTGTGTTTTTAATCGTAGATACATATGCAGATTATTGTAGTGTAGATAATCTACGGTCAAGAACACTGACCGAATGATTTCGTCACGGGACTATAGTCATCCTCATTTTTTTTTCTTCGATAAATGAACTAGACGTTCTTATTTTCGCCTAATTTCGGCCGTATTATATTTGAACAATACTGAATCTACTACTTTTTATTATTATTATTATTATTATTATTATTATTATTATTATTATTATTATTATTATTATTTATTTTAGATTTGTTGGATTAGTACATAGACTTCAAAAATTAACAACATGGATATATTTCTATTGACGTAGCTTTTACTTTTCCTATTTTTCGTATATTTGGAGTACGTTTTTGTTTAGTTTGTCGATAAGAAAAATTGTTAACAGTGTGCAAACATGCCCTTGAGTTGCTTGTAAGTTGTACTTGAGAAATCCAAAAGTTGTTATACTTGTTTAACACTTTTTGTTGCATCATATCTAAACGTGATGCCATCTTTTCTTGGTAGAGTAAAGACCAGTTAACCTTCACACATGGAGAGCAAATACATCTAAACATACACAACATAATTTTAGATTATATCTAATTATATAATTTAGTTATATATAGTCTATTTTATTTTAGTTTCGTTGTTGTATGCCGGGTACTTAAAGATACTGATAGATCACCATTCGAGGTGTCGCATGCATGCAGCAAGACGAGTGGGTGGTGTGCCGCGTGTTCCAGAAGAGCGCGGGAGTCAAAAAATACCCTTCAAACAGCCAGTCGTCATCGAGGGCAGTCCTGATGAGCCCCTACACATCCTTGGCCCTCCCCCAAAACCCACTCCAAACACAATACCAACCCCTATTTCACCATCAACCCTCGGACCTCAACAACTTATTCGAAATACAACAACTCAACAAGGCCATAATGGGCGACCTCCCGGCCCCACCTCAGATCAACTTGTACAACGGAGGAGACAATGGAAACGGGTGTTTCACAATCTCGGGCCTCAACCTCAACCTCAGGGCCACCTCAGCTAAGCCGCTCGTGCAAGACATGACTGTGCAGGCCATGAATGTGGTGGGCACTGATCATCATAATGCTGCTAATAATAGGTTTGTGGTTATGGATCAGTGTGCTGACCTGGATGCTTACTGGCCTTCCAGTTCCTACATGGGAAATTAAATTGGTGGGAATGAGGAGTGTTTGTTTGTAAGGTAGGTATTTGTGGTTTTGTATCTTGGTAATGTATTTTTTGTTGGGTTTGTTGCTTGTTGCTCAAGTTTGGGTCTTGATTTTGGCTGTCCACTACTGAAAAACTTTTGTGTGGATTGCATGCATGTTTATGTTATCTGGATGGTGGGATAAATTTCTGGATATTTTAGTTTACTGTATCCAATGCATTTATTAGATTCTTCTTCCAAGTTATTCCCATCCAAGCATGAGATCATTTAAAATTGAAGGCGGGGGTCTCCTCACAGCCAAGCAGCTACTAAAACCCACTGTTTTGAGGGCCTGATGGATCCGCCAAGTCGGCCCAAACGGACTGGAGGAGTCGGTTTTGGTTGAAAACCCGAACCGGGTTGTGTGTTTCAACAACAGTCTTGGATGTAATCCACCTAAGGCAGGGCCAAATCTAATTTACTTAATCAATTCGATTCTACAATTGAAAGGCGGTTGGACGAGATACAAAAATCCAGATTTCGATGGTCTAGAAAACACAAATCGACTTGAATATCAAATAGCAAATGCCATGATACAACACCGAAGAATAAGCTTTTTAAAACTACACGTGAAAGCATCAAAAGAACTACAATGACCTATCGGCTACCACCAATTTTTCTGTTCTACATATAAAAAACCGACATGTGCCGAACACTTGAAGACCAACAACATACTTGAGCAGATAGATCTCTTAAAGCTCTGCACCCATGAAAAAAAAAACGTCCACATTATCCTACAATTAAGATAAACAAGCAAGAAAAACAATGCATCCGCACAAACATTAATTAGTACAAGAACTATGCATTATCTTTCAATGCATTATGCGACATGCCTACGTATATTCGAGGAATGCGCATAATCCTCACAACATCTATTGCTGTAGTTTGAAATGCATACCTTGTGATAAAAAAACAATGGAGTGAGTTTAACGGGCTCATTTGTCTGAATGTACACGTTTTCCCTTGCGACGGGAATTATGTGCATTACCATTTCGGACAGGCTTTCTCGGCTTTCTATTACTGCTACAAAAAACAAACAGAAAGAAAACCTTACAAAAACTGGACAGGGAGCTACGAATACTTTCAAGTTTCAAGTGCTAAAGGGTAACATAACAGAACTTTTACCCCGTTTAGCAACAGGAAAATAAGCAATGGCAAATCACTAACCCAAAAGTGGCTGAAAATATTTTCAAAAGAAAAATGACAGGCAAAGCCAGCAGTGCAGAGGCCTACAAAACAGAAGGTTGGTAAATGAGCAATGGGTATGTATGTCCATCTTACCACAATAAAACTTAAAGACAAGGCCGTAAATATTTTCAAGGTACTTACAGAAAACCAAACCAACTCTTTCGTTGCAAGAGGCTTTGTGAGCTCGTGACTGTTCAGTTTCTCGTGTACTACATCTTGAACCTTAAGACAATGCTTTAAGGTCATACGATTATATGCTAAAAATAACTAAAAAAAAACATAATTCCAGAATAGTTTAACAGAAATAATTACACACAATACAATTCAATTAACCCATTAAGTAGTGATGATTCATTATTAATATCCTTCCAAAACACCACAAACCTTTATTACGAACTACTTTTAGTCTTTTGCTCATGGTTTCGTAATATATCAATTTTGAATTTGTCACAGCACCATAAACCTTTATTACGAACTACTTCTAAGCTTCTACTCATGGTCTTGTAATATATCAATTTTGAATTTTTCATAGTAATTATAGGAACTCCGAGAAGGTCTAAGTGATGTTCGAAGACCCCCACATTATTTACTGAAACAAGGAATATTATATCAGCTTTATTTTCCACCACCTACATTCCTCACATGCCTACTTGTCATCATGGCACGGCGTTCGTACCCCTTCCTAGAGGAAGGGGAATAAAAGGAATGAGAAGGAACTGTAATTTTTAAGTGATTTCCGTTTAAGTTCATCTGAATTCATGCTTCCAACATCAAGCATCACACAGACATTTTGAGGATGAAAATGGCACCAGTGTGCTTCATTCAAGGGTTGGGTAAGTACGATTAATGATGCACATTTCCCGATCTGATAATTGTTATCCATAATATACCTAGGCAGCTGTAAAATCAATGCTCATATAACATCCTTTCAGCCCAAGCCATTGCTCACAAGCCATCATATTAATCAACATTAGTCAATTGAAAAATAAACCAAACGATTAATCTTCAGCAGCATTCAGCACTTGTTATTCTTTTGAGCATCATTAAGTGAGGCACATAAGATTGTTCACCTTGACGTTAGATTAATTGTAAATGGGAGCTAACTCAATAACATACCTGAGAATGATATGTAGTTGCCGACTCAAGAAACTTCCCATAGGCATGCACAGCCTGCTGCGTATACGGCCTCAAAGCAGTGTGTAATTTATCAACATGAGGTTTTGCAGCTGTGGCAACCTGATCGATATATGGTTTGCTGAGTTTCCTCAGTTCCTGAAAGGCCATAAATTTAGGTCAGCTTGCGCGGAGGTAGGTAAGGTATATAAAACAATGTAGACAAATAGGCAGCTCATAGCTCACCTGAAAATAAGGCTCGACAACTTCCTGAACTTTAATGATGTGAGGAGTCACAGTATCCTTTGATACTTCGTATAACTCAACAGCTCTAGTTGTCAAAGTTTGAACATGTGGTTCAACATTAGTGGTTATCACAACCCACTGTTCCTTAACGGCTGGTACCCATTTCTTCATACGGCACGCACAAAA